TGGGGTTCATGACATTATAGTAGTAGTTTTTGAATTCTTGCGGTATAACAAGAGCTACAAGTGACTAATCCTATCAATGGATGTTGAAGGAGACTTAGATAAAATTGATATTGACCTCCTGTCAGACTTTCTGGAGGCCTGGGGGTGTCTCTTGAACCTGTGTCAGTAGATCTGGAAATGGGTTTCCTGTCGATCGATCCACTTTTGCTTCAATAGATGTGTCTCTTGGGCTTACGATGTTTGTAAAGGAGTACCTCAGGGCTTGTCCCTTTCTCCTTTCCTCTTTGGTCGTTACATGGCAGATATATTCAAGCTAGGCATGCGATATTCTCCTAGTGGGTGTCAGTTGGTAGTTTCAAAAGTTGACGATAGGGTCATCATAGTAGCACCAGAGTCTTGTAATGCTGCCCGATACCATATGGGAGAGATATTCGCAGATTGTGATCATATAGCCATGGCTATGGGAATGGTGTTTAGTACCCTAAAAACCGAGTAGATTGGATTTGGAGATAAGGCATTGGAGGGATGAAATTGTAAGGAGAAATAGTTGTACCTTCTGAGAATTTACAGGTTCTTGAATATAGGTTTAAGGTATTTTTTAACTTTTCTTCTCATGTAAAGTATTAGTTGGAAAGGGGATTGGGTATTAGGAGAAGGATTTTGGTGTTGGGGAGGAGGTTTGGGAGTGTTCCAAGATTGGAAGCGTGGGAGACTTACGGCTTGATGCAGGCAGCCTACCTTCCGACCGTCTACTACAGGCTAGAGTTTGTAACTGACCATGTATCATATGTGAAGCAATTTCAGGTTCACGTCAACAACTACCTTCATTCAGTATTTTGGACATCTATGAAACCAGCTAACAACAGACTATTGACTGAGTTTAGGGCACAACCTGTCGCTATTCAAGGCATGTACCTACAACGGAGATATTATAGCCGGTTCATCAATTACTGATACTATGACCAACATGCTTGGTTCAGTAAGATACGGCTGTAATGGAAGGAGGAAGGCATAGTGGCATACCGGCAGATCTTGGATAAAGCGCTCACCTGCTGCCATACAGTTTCTATTGGGAAAGGCAAGGTGGTGATGGCTACACACCACTGTTCACTGTACATAGACCATTGTACATCTTTGGATGTGCTCATATACATGGATGGATCCAAGTCCTCTGAGGGAGCTGGTCTGGCATTGGGAGTGTTTGAAAAAGGGGCCTTGACACATGTTGACGCATGCTCAGTTCTCCTATTGTAGAGCATTATTGAATGTGAGCTGTTTGCAGTTGTATGTGCTCTCCAACATGCTCATAATATAGCCAAGAGGTGCCCGGTTTATGTGTTCTTAGACTGTGTGCCGGTCCTCATCCTGGTTAACAACATGTTCTCTGATAGTGACTCAGCTAAGTTGTGGAAGGTCATGGTGCTACTGTTGAATGCCTTCTCTTACGTCAGTCTCGGCTAGATCCCAGGTTACATAGGCATTGATGGTAATGAGATGGTTGACCTGAAGGCTAAGGCCTGTATTGGACATCCCTTACACCCTCTGCTTTGGGAAGGAGTTAGCTTTGGGATTGGTCATATGACCCTGGCTCGAGAGTTCCGGAAGGAGGAATAGGAGATCTGGTATACTAGAGAAGAACATGTGTACTATACCTGTGAACCCAAAGCACCCCGATACCTCCAGGGCCCGACCTGCATGGACTCCTATATCTTATTAAGGATCCGCAGGGGGATAGGCATGATCAGCCATGACAGCTGCAATAGGAAAGATGATAGACATCACTGGATTGAGTGCCCTCACTATGCTAGAGGGTATCTTGCTAACGAAGACTAGGATAAGGATTCGGCAGTCTTGGGGTAGAAATCTTGGTAGATGGATCATCAGTGGTTAGGCATGGGAATTCCTCATCATATTGGGGCTGTGGATGGGGAACTAGTAGTAGTAGGTAACCTCTTCGATGGCACACTGATGGTGGAAAGGGAAAGTGGGACTGCAATAGTAGGAGACCCTACAATTTGCGCTCAGTGCAAGAATAAACATGACAGTGGTGGTTGCATTTTGCCAGATGAGGTAAAAATGCTGAAGAAGTGGTTCTTTTTGCCCAACCAATGACAGTGTGAGTGTCCTTGTTGTGGTACTGCCATTTCCGCTGCAACAACCAAAAAGCGCACCACCTTCATTAAACATTTTGAGAAACTGCCCTGATGTTTACAGGTATATTACGATCAGTTCTGGCATTTTCAACACTAGTAGTGGGATGAATTGAATTTGGCAATATGAACGTTGGTGGTCTTGAGGTGGGCTAAGATGAACGAGTTGTTAAAAAAACCATGTTGTTCCTTTTGCAGTTTGGTACTGGCGGGAGGTTACTTGGATTTTGAGTTGTATTACAAGAAGACGGAGGGATGTTGGGATAGACTGTATGTTTCTTTTGTTGAGTATGTGGGATAAATTGTAACGTGTTCGCAAGGTGCTAATCACGTTATCGGTAAAGATACGATAGTTGGCAGGTGGCCTGCTCTTCCAGAGAGGAGGCGAGAGCTGAGAACTAAAGGAGGCTTCGAGGGTGTACTGAGGAACAAAGAAGTAACCGTTTAACCAAGTATATTGAAATACTGTCTGTCGAAGTCTGCCCTTTCTATTGTAGAAACAGGCGGTCTTTAAATACACAAATCTGTTCATGTCTTAACATGAACGAAACTAATCAAAGGTATCAATTGATACACTTTGGTAAAACTCCTTAAGTATCAAAACGATACTTAAAACAAAACATAAAACAAAACCAAGTATCAAACGATACTTAAAACTAACCAAGTATCAAAGCGATACTTAAAACAAAATATAAAACAAAACCAAGTATCAAACGATACTTAAAACTAACCAAGTATCAAAGCGATACTTAAAACAAAGCATAAAACAAAACCAAGTATCAAACGATACTTAAAACAAACCAAGTATTAAAGCGATACTTAAAACAAAACATAAAACAAAACCAATAACCAAGTACCCGTACCGGTTACATAAATTGTATTGGAGGCAGATAGGGGTAAGGGCATGAGATGGTAGTTAGGTAGCAGGGTAGGAAGACACATGAATCCAGGACAGCACTAGTCATTACGAGAGTCCTGAGTCCACATAGGTAGTGATTTTTGGATTTATATTTGGGAGCACTGATTGTGGTGCTGAATGGTCTATGGTAGTATATTTTAGATAGTTTGTTTTATGGGACGTGGGGAAGACTGGTTGTATGCCAGTGTTGGCAGTACTAGTATAAATAAAATTAGATTAAATTCTAAGTACTTTTCCTATTTATTACTTTAACAAATCTAAAACACCTTTAAGCTCTTTATCATTATCATGACCTTTATTATTATTACTCTGAGAAAGCTTATGATAGGCATTCCTAGTAGAAGACAAAGGTCTTATACTATTGGTAATATAGGCAGAGGCCTAGCACTATCATAAGGTAAGAAAAAAGAAGAAGAGAAGTATCGTTCCCCATTGCCAAGAACTAACCATCCGAAGTGGGATCGTTACAGTGGGTAGAAATTGATAGATATCGTGGTGATTATGCATCACATGTTCAATCGTTAAGCAGGCAGCCTTGATACATAAGTCAGCTGCAAGTTGTGGAAAGGATTTCTATAACCCTCCAGGACATTCTGAGAAGCTCTTTTGAGTCCCAGTGAGGCCTCTGAACCTTCTGCTATCACTTCAGGACTGCCCAGGCGATCAAGGTTTCCTAAGACAGCGTAGAGATGAGAGGAATCAGTTGGGTAGCTTGCTCATTCCTGGTCATGATTCACCAAGTTTAGCGAATATTTATGACTCTTCTCTGAGTATGAGCTATAGTTACCTTTGCCTTTTGACAGATTTTGTGAGCAGAATCAGGAAAATACTTGCAGACACTTTGAAATATCAATCCAACTTTTATTGGTGAAGAGATAAATAGTGAGAATTGCTGATCGAAGCTCAAGAGGTATCTCAATTGTATTTTTTAGTCAAACCATCTTGTAAGACTTCAATAAAACTATTGAAGAGAAAGAGGCAGCTTTCATATATGTTCAAAATATTCAGTCCTGAGCAGAATACCGGAAGGAGAGTAAACAATTTCACAATAATGATGATGTTTCTTCGCATAATAGGATGGTTGCAACATGCTGCTTTTGCAACCAGATTTCACGTGACGGATATATTCATCGGCCGCACTCGTACTCGAGTACTGTATCTGGTTGGGAGCACTGGGCACGAGCATGGTGTCGCAACAAGGTTGGGGGCTTCAGGGGGTTGTTTCTTTCAGACCTGTATGAGTACCGTACCCTATGAGACTTGAGGGTGCCAGTACGAGCAGTCTAGTACTCGTACCAGCACTGACCGATTTCAAAAGGATCCATACACCTTGGCGCCAAGTGAGGACAACAAGGGTGTCAAGGTGTCCGGACACCGTTCCTTTGAAACCTGCTATGCATACAAGTACGGTAGTATTTTACATTGTATTGTCACTCACTTGTCACTTGTGACGCGGATAGCGCAGTGTGATGGGACGGGGGTTTCCGTCACCGTGAAACCTAGTTCTATTGTTTGACACTCCCAACACTTTAAATTTATGTCACCACAGTCTGAGTTTAAAACTTCTGCCTGCCAGCGCTGTACCACTATGATAGTTGCATGTTACCATTATATCCCTCAGTATCTGCACCATAACTAGATGATCACGATCACGCTTTTTTTCTCTTTCTTTTTCTTTATCTAACGGCTCGGAGCTCGGAATGTTTCTTTTGGATTCCATCGTAAATGCCGTTACGTCTTTCATAGATAAATACTCGTACAGTATGATACCCGAGCGGATGGAGGGGTTGAGAAACGGGTTTATTCCAGGACCTTTTCTTTTCCTCCTCACAGTAAAATTGTGACACCCGGTGACTAAGCTTAACATCACTTGCAGTTCTTTTTCCTAATCCCTTCTGCTTCACCCTACAATTCCGTCATATCTCCCTTGATTGAGGTCAATAACACAAAAATCACTTTCCTTACCTTACCGGTACCTCGCCTCATCCTCCACCCTCTCTCTCTTCCTCATCTCAGCAACTGGGGCCACCTGCGAAAAAGTACCATCCCTGATAGTAACGGTTTTTTCCCACTAAGGAGCTTTTCTTTCTCCTCTTCTTCCTCTCCTCCTTGGGACCTATCTGCTTCGCAGAGGACGGATCGCGGGACTTTACATTTTACTTGGAAGCCTTTTGGGATTACTAGGGTAGGGATAAGAGAGGCTTTCATCGGGAAAGAGGGGAAAAAAGACTGCGGTAGAGGGGGTGTGATCGGGACTTTAACGCCTTCAACATGGCGCGACAGCAGGAATTTGCACCTATGGTGAACTGGCTCTATGATCTTATTCTATGGTCTTTCTCAAGTATGTTTTGTGTCCTGCCTAAGTTTGTGTTTTTAGGGATGAGAGTGGGTGGGGCTCCGGGGTGACATCATCTCTCGGGTATCCGCTTGTGTTGATGGTGATGAAGATGCTAACCATATATATTCTTTCAATCAATAAGTTCTTGTGGATCTCTTCTTTCGTGAGGTTCACCCCCGTGGTGCATTCCGTATCCCCCGGAGGGGTCCTATTATCTTTGTCGGAGCACCACATGCAAACCAGGTACACCCCCGCCTCCATTTATCTGTATTGGTAATAAGAAGAGTAGGGACAGGGCCTAACAACGTTACACAGTTCGTCGACCCTCTAATCCTCATGCGCGCAGTCCGCCTAGAATCTCGCCGCCGCATAGCATTCCTCGTAGCGGAGAAATCAATGCGAAGGAAGTTCATTGGATGGCTATCTCGCTGTGTGGGCGCGGTGCCCGTCTCCCGCGCCCTCGACATGACCAAGCCCGGCACCGGACGCATCTACCTACCGGACCCCCAACAACCCCTCAGAATTAGAGGCGCCGGGACCAAGTTTACGGAGGAGCTGATTGCTGGCGGGTTGCTGGTTCTGCCGCCAGAAAAGGGACAGAGTGCGGCTAGTGCTGAGGTTACTGAGATATTGAGCGACGAGGAGGTCGTGCTAAAAAGGGAGTTTAAGGGAGATATTGCCCTGGCACAGCTTACGCAGAAAAGCGGGGAGGATGGGAATGGGAGCAAGTATAAGGTTGCGCCAAAGGTCGATCAGAGTCAGGTCTATGATGCGGTGTTTCAGAGATTGAATTCCGGTGGTTGTGTGGGTATATTTCCTGAGGGTGGTAGTCATGACAGAACGGAATTATTGCCATTAAAGGGTAGGACGTTCCTTGTTTTTTTTTTTTTAATTTTAATTTTTAACTTCTTCCGATGTCACTCGATGCTGAGAGCGATACCATTGTTTGTGATTTCTTTGTTTCTGAGGAATGTTACTAACATGTATTAGCTGGTGTTGCTATTATGGCGCTCGGTGCTCTCTCTGCCAACCCAGATTGTGGACTCAAAATTGTGCCTTGTGGGTTGAATTATTTCCATGCTCATAAGTTCCGATCACGGGCTGTCATTGAGTTTGGAGCTCCGATTGAAGTGCCAAAAGAGCTTGTGGACCAATACTCTAAGGGCGAGAAACGTGAGGCTGTTAGGGCTCTGCTGGAAATCATCTATAATGGATTATTGGCAGTTACTGTTACCTCACCAGATTACGATACCCTCATGGTATGTCCCTTGACCCTCTATAGATAAACTAGCAAATACAGAAGCTAATGTTCTCGCAGGCAATCCAGGCTGTCAGAAGGCTTTACAAGCCGACTAACAAGAAGCTTCCTCTCCCGATGGTGGTAGAACTCAACCGACGATTGGTCACTGGGTACACACATTACAAAGACGACCCACGCATAATTCACCTCCGTGCATCCGTATCAGAATACAACCGCCAACTCCGTCTCCTCGGCCTCCGGGACCACCAGGTCGAGTACGCAAAGTTCTCCTTCTTCCGCGTCATTCTCACCCTGATCTACCGCGTCGGAAGACTCGTTTTCCTCGGAACCGGCGCCCTACCTGGCTTTGCCCTCTTCGCCCCCGTGTTCGTCGCAACACGCATAATCTCCCATCGGAAGGCCAAAGAAGCTCTTAAGGCCTCGACTGTCAAGATCCAGGGTAAGGATGTAATGGCCAGTTGGAAACTCCTCGTAACCCTAGCTCTCGCTCCAATCCTCTACAACTTCTACGTCGTAATCCTCTGCTGGTGGACATACCGCCACCGTTTATTCGGGCTGATGCCAGACTGGATGCCGATAATCGGCGTGGCAATCTTCGGCTGGATATGGTTCCCCAGCATCACGTTCGCAGCCCTACGCTTCGGCGAGATAGGAATGGACATCTTCAAGTCCCTGCGCCCCCTAGTTCTCTCATTGAACCCCACGAGTGCAAACACCCTACACAAACTCCGCCAGAAGCGCGTACAGCTAGCCGTAGAAGTGACCGACCTGATAAACGAACTCGGCCCCGAGATATTCCCGGACTTTGACTCTGCGAGGATAATCTCCGACCCGTTCATCAAGCCCGACGCCCTTCCCACAATCCACACCACCTCCCGTACCCGCCGTGACTCAGAACTCTCATCCGACTCGAACCTTTCACCCACCTCCGAGTCCGGTGGCTGCGCTCCCTACGCTACCATCGGCGTAGGCTCCGGCGTCGGAGGCAACAGTCACAACATCCCACGCAACGAGAGCTTTGGGAACCTTGGCAGCATCGGCCTCTTCGCTTCTAGGCCTGTTAGTAGAGCGCGTAGTAGGAGTAACAGTGGCGGGTTCCCCATTAAAGCGCTCAGCAACATTGAGGGCGCGGGACAGTTTGGCTTCGACGAAGTCAGTCGCAAGATTAGCTCTGCCATGGCCGAGCGCAGGAGGGAGAGGAGGAGGAGGAGGAGTGGGAGTTTGGGCTGGGGGGAAGAGGAAGTAGATGGGCATGGGGGGAGCACTAGTGAGAGTGAGGGCGATGGGGAGGAGGAGGGCAAAAAGATGGTTTGAGCAAGTGAATACGGTAGGAGCAAGAATAAATAAAAAGAGGAAGAGAGCGCGCAGTGAGGATGGGGGTTTACCTATTCATTTATCTCACCTCCTTTCCTTCCTGTTTGAACCGTTTTTTTCACCTTCCTTTCCGTTTTCCCGTCGGGCAGATTCGGCTTGGCTTGGTTTTGGTCTGGGTTTTTGTGCTCGTTCGTGTATTCGTTCTGTACGGTAGTTTCTCACCCCCTCTTTTTTTTCCCCTCTCCCCCTCTACCACCCCGATGCGCCAGACCTGGTTTTACCCGTCAAGTTGGAGCTTGTCCCGGTGTTCTTTTTTCTTTCTTGCCCCCCTCAATTGTCTTGAGTCAGGGGCGTTGGAGTTATTGTAGCTGAGAATATATTAGTCTTAATATGATATCCCTGCTTGTTGTTCTTGCGTGATTATTCCGCTAGTTTTGCTTAGTTGGCTGGGTGTTAGAGCTGGGTATTTCCTGATACCGTATTATACTGGGCAGATTGCAATAGTTCAGCAGAGGATTTATCACAAACTATGACGAAAACTAAATCCATTCAATCGGTATTGATGATACCATATCCCCCCCCTTTCCACTTTCCATGCCAGCCAGACACGCCATCATACCCGCCAACCCTCCTTTTATGTCATGTTCGTTTCTCATCGACTTCCACAACCAGACATAAGAAAGGAACAACGGAATTCTCAAGATAAGTTCGCGTGAAACGACAACCCCACCTCTATTCAACTTAAAGAGGTGGGGGGAAACGGAGCAAAAAGTGGAAAATATAGTAAAATTGATGAACACAAGAACTACAACCACTCCCTCCCTCCCACGTTAAACTAGTAAGAAAAAAGAACAAAGGAGCCTCCATTTGTGTAAAAAGGCCGAGTCTAGTTGGTTCCAGTAACAGCAAGTCTGTAGTGGCGGTTAGCAAATGCACATATATCTGGGAAGTGCGGAGGGAGTATTTACTTCATTAGATGTTCCATAAATGTTTGTAGTGAGACGTCATCGGTGAATATAGTCTGGGCGTTTTGCGGAACGCCACCGTATCCACCGGATGTGTGGGTTGTCGATGGGTTAAGTTTTGACAGGAGGAAGCGTGCTTGGGAGCCACCAGCATCACAGACGATGAATCGTGGTAGTGGGAAGCGGTCAGCGATCAGCTCCTGTATCGTCATTTATATTATTGATGTCTCTTTATTATCAAGGATAGGATAGACACTCACCCTAGCGTCTTCCTTAGGCAACTCCAATAGTTCCTTGAAGTTCTCGTATCCTTCTTGGTCTTGGTATCCAACCTTCTTCCACTCGGCAATGGTCTCACCGTGGAAGATAAGAATGTGGAAGAAGGTGTCGAGTAGTAAGATGTGATTAGGCTGGATAGATGTAGAATCCAGAAGGACAGGACGAGGCGGTTCATCGAAGGTGTATGTATCAAGGGTGGGCTGGATCATGATAAGAGAGTTTCCAACATCTTCGCGATTAATGACATGCCGGTAGAAAGCTGTTTCGTCAGGGGAGTTGTTGAAGACCTGCAAAAATTGACTACGACGCAGGTGGAAGACAAATTGTGGGTACAAAGTGAAGTTCTTCTCTAGTCTGAATGATGTAGGATCATCCTTGCGGTAGTCTGCAAACCTCGAGCACAATCTGATAAGCATTCGATCAACCCATCTCAACACGTCCGGACCGTCATCGACCTCTGCCTTGAAGACAGCAATTCTGGCCATGAGCACAGCCGCAGTTTCCTGATCAAAGGAGTGGGCAATCGACGGATCACCAGTGGGGCCGCTAAGATCACGACCAATGGTTGTAACTCTTAGATGGAATTGGCCGGAAGAGTGTTGATAATAGGTCAGATATTGAATAAGACCCTTCTGGGGCCCTTGTTGCTGTTGAGCAGGGCCTGCTTGGGAGGCAATCTCAAAGTAGGTCGCGACTGAGGTTGTGGGACTGAGTCCACACATCTTCCAAGAGCAGGTATTACCAATACCACATTCAGTCTCACCAACGGAGGTTGACTTCTTGTTCATCGAAACTGCATGACCAATCAAACCAGTGACCTTCAATTCCTTAGTAGTCAAAACCTCCAACGAAGCATTAAAGCCCATCAGGAGATTGTCGGCGGTATCCTTATCGAAAATCTTGACAAAACTCTGCCTGAACATAGAGGATGTAAAACTATCGGTAAGGATCATATGTCCACCGGTAGAGTTGGCAAGCGATTTCATTTCCAACAGCCCAACCTGATCCAAACAGCCAGCGAAGATATCGATGATATGACCGTTGTGTGCGGTTCTCCTAGCCATATTTTCGTAGAACTTTCAAAAGAAAATGTTAGAAGAAAAAAGATTGCTAAAACAACTGCGACTAATCCTTACCTTGGTAGCTTTTTTATGGTACTTGATATTGTCCCTCTCAATGTCGTGGTGAGATCTAATGGGTTCTCTAAGCTCCGGCCCAACAACAATTCCGGGCCCTTCGGTTCCAGGCCCCCCTGCAAACAGCATGATCCTAGCGCCAGTATTTGCAAAAGAAGTCTCCAACAGTCCAACCGCAACACTCAACGCAACACCAGTACATCTCAACGGACGCTTGTCATTAGCCACAGGCCAGGGATCCTTTTGAAGCTGCTCGAGAACATTCGTCAATTGAAACTCGCACTGCTGGACAGGCAAAAGGAAGCGTGAGGATGGCGGCATGTGGGGCTGAGGACGTCCGGGCGCCATAGGTGCCTGCTGAGGACGAAGACCAGCAGCAAGGAGTCCGAGCATCTCCTGCACCTGCTTGGCAGAATACTCCTTGTTTCCCCGAAAAACATAGGATTTAGCGCATTCGGTGTAACCAAGCTCGTGAACATGTGCCTAGATCTTTTAGAAACTCTACCACCTTGAAGAAGAAAAGGAAATATATATATATAATATTATATATCCATACCATAGTGCCATAGGTTATCAACCCGACAAGTGCATGTGGAGGGAGCAAGCTCAAGCTCATGATCAAAGAGTCCTTGAGAGCCTTCAAGGAATCCTCCTCCTGGCAGGTGTCCACCACGAACAAGAATATCGGGGGTGCCGGGGCCGGCCGGGCCAGCTTGTACTCGATTGTAGAAAAAGCGGGAGACAATTCGAGTGGCCATGAGTTCGGACCGATGTCTTTATAATGAGGCGGGAGTTGGTTCCTCTGCAAACAGAAGGGGCAGATCCAAAGCTTCGCACGGGAATCCACTTGGCTATGCCACTGTCAGAAACCCAATTGGCGAGAATAGAAAAGAACCTTTGTGGTACAAACCAGTATGGGTTTAGAACAGCCCGGCATGGTGCTTTGCATGTTACCGGCTCATACTGAACAGGAGGCTGCTCCTTTTCTTTCAAGGGAGTGTAGAGGACACCGATAGGAACAACGAGCCGACTAGATTCTAGACGATTGCTGGGAAAGACGTTCCAACTAAGGACCTCCGAAATAGTGGGGTCAGCTATCAGGTACGTAGACAGATAAAGTTATCTGCGGTAGGGTGGTGGTTGCGCGTATAGCAAAAAAAAAAGATATTTACCTCAAACGAACACCATCCTGCTCCTCCGCTACAACCCACTGGTCTTTTAGCTGTTCCATGTCCATCTTGTTCCTGACTGCCGATACGACTGGCGCACGCTATACTACACCCACAGAGCTGAAGGAACGCAAGGTTAAGAAGAAAAAAAGGAAGAAAAAAAACAAATGCGTGATGATAAAATCGTTGCTTAAACTGTGATTTCTGGGGGTAGGATATTTTTTATACCCTGCGATGTAACAACCGCTGGGAATGAAAAGATGAGCCGCTGGATAAAGAAGAGACAAGTAGGTGAAGGAGATGACTTCCTATTTTCGTTGCTTAGGACAGATTGTCGACACTGGAAGTGCCCGTGGCTAGAGCACTAAGAGGTGTGTGGCTAATGCAAATAAGTGTGGCGTTCTAACTGCCAACTACCGGTGTGAGGTCGAGTGTGAGTTGGGGAATATTCCTGTATCTGGTAGGGTGTTTACCCTCATGGTAACCTTTCTATGTATGATAGGTGGCTTGGCATAAAAATGGCCAACCATATCAGAGTACCATTGGAGGAACAATATCAGAGGGTGCCAGAGTAATCGACACACTATCCGACAAAGGGAAAGCAATAATTAATTCCCACACCGGTACACATAAGGATGGTGCGCTGCCATCAAAGAGTGCCCTTGTAAAATATTATGATACCAGAAGTTTTGCTTTTGGCAATGCTAGGTAAAAAAAAGAGTTATAGATCATAACAAATTATTTTTGGAGGTTCCATGTTCATTAGTGGTAACTGTTTTTTTTTTTTTTAATACTGTACGAGTACATTAAATCTTTTTATTTGATCTTGTATTATTCTTATAGTCAATCTCTGAGTTCAATATAACTACTCTATAGGATCAACTGAAAATTGGGAAAACTTATAATGTATCATATTAAAAACAGTACGGTGCTTGTGGCAAATAAATTGAATATGGAACCTCCAAAAACAATTTATTACAATCTATCATATCCCTTTGATCTAGCATTACGAGACGCAAGGTTTCTATGTAGTATCATACTTGTACAAGCACTCCTTAGACGCATCGCATCGTGCCGGTGTAAGTGTAGCCGATAGATATCCGTCACTTGCCTTATCTGGCTGGGCAAATTGCAACAAGGTTCACCAAAGTTTTCTTGTCGGTCTTCACGTGATGGATACATCTATCAGCCGCAGTTGTACTTGTACTTATATCATACTTGAGCACAATAAATAACATACACTTATCCCATTTCTTTTCCTTCTAGAGCTCTCAACTGGGAGATGCTAAAACTGAAGTCAGTACTATAGGCCCTATTTGGCCAGATATAAAGTATCCGGGCGTCTTGGCGCCAAGACAGGTATCAATCAATACCGAGGTCTCTACGAGTGGATAGTTTATGAGGCCGAGGGTTTGCATAATGCTTGCAGTAACATAGAAAGAACAACAAACGGATGGATAGCAAATAACCTTACTATTTGACGTTTACTATCACATTTTTAACGTATTATTCGCCGCCCCCGCTATTCATTATCCCCCTCTGTAGACTGTTGTTTTAAAGACTTAGGTAGTACTATAAAAGCATATGATCTGGTTTCTGGTTACACGAGTGATGTCCTATGAAGTGCTAACAAGAGTAATATTTCTAAAGGAAAATATCTCTATGGAATGGAAACAAATAATTTTCATTTAACCCGCACCAACACCAGTAACTTTTTTGATAGTATGACGACTTAAGAACTAGGTAAAGTGGCAACCTTGGAGTGAAAGAGTCTCTCAGCCTCTTGCCAAGCCCTGGTATTCTTTCTATCCTTCAATAAGAGCAAGCTCGGAAGCAAATCATTGCTAAACGCTTCACTAGCCTCACGTGGAAGGAGAGTTGGAAGGTGGTCAATCGAGATGACAGAGAGAGGAGGTCCCCCACTGACCCAGAGATGTTAGTGTATACAGCAATACAAACTAGATACGTGCCGAGAAACTTACCTGACAGAGACGGGAACTGTGGGCTTGTCAAATGTAGTATTTACATTGTAGATGGGGATGGGGTTGTGGGGGTTAGTAGTATCACAACTAACATCCACGACGACCGAAAGCTTGCGATCAGCGTTTTCCAAGGACTTAGTGTCAACGAAAGGAGGAATTGGCTGATTGAGGTAAATGCAGTTGATAAAGATGTCGGCTGTAAAGGTTTTGGTTATAAAAGCCCTCCCGAATTGTCACTCAGTCGCAAAAAGAGCACTCACATTCAACAATCTCGACAAAAGGACCACCCTTGGCAGTTTCAGCCATATCCCATTGTAAGACATTTCCGGCCGGGATGCCGACTTTGAGTGCCAAATCAACAGCGCCCTTTCCGCATCTTCCCAAAGCACCAATCACCAGAACCCTCGGGCTTCTCCCGATATCCGCGCCTTTGAATTGTCAGTGATCTTAGAAAGGAAAAAACAATGGAACTCGAATGAGTGAGAAGGAGATCCTACTACTCTCGGTAACCACACTCTTGATGCGCGAAATTAAAGCGCCCTCGCTGGAGTAAGGCTTGACATCACGGAACTCTTCCCCGGGATGGGCATACTGCCATGCCCAAACCTCAAGACCTAGTGCAGCGCCGGCAAATCCAGCATGATAGCCGAACGCAGCAACTCTACGACCGTTATCGTCTTGAAGGAATTCCAAGTCTAGGAGAGTGCCCTTGCCCCTGGGGAAGCGAGAGAGTACGTTTTCCCAGCCACCTTGGTTCTTGTAACAATGGGCGAATTGGACGTGAGTATGCTTGAGAGGGACTATTACGTATGAACGCTGAACCGGCCAATTTAAAAAGGGAGGACATGAGGTGGATGTACATACAGTCATCATCAGGGAGTTCCTTAAGGCCAATAATTATGTGGTCCACGGGTGCCTCTGGATTGAGAATTGCAATGGTCACTCGCTCAGCGCAGGAATTTAGCACAAGGTGGGTGGCTCAACATACCAGTCCAGGAGCCCTCGGGAACAAGCGTAGCACCGACCCTTTTGAGTAATTAACAAGTTATCCCCTAAGAAAAGTGCCCCGAAATGTATTGGACTTACTTCTCAAACTCACTGTCATCAAAGATTCTCTGCTCACTACGCTCGACACGGACATCATAACCAGCGTTTAAAAGAGCGCTGGTAGTGGCGGGAGTAACTAATGACGAGGGTTTAGCAATAGGGAGTTATTTTTAGGAGTATTCAGGTAACTCACGGGCAGAGCGGTGCTCAAGCGGTTTACCTGTAATTAAAAAGTGAGCTTCAATGTTTGACTCAGGGAATGAGAGACAGAAGTGCCCGAAAAATCAATCGAAAGCAGAAATTGAATTGAAATTGATGTGAGGAACAAACTTACACTCAGCTCTCAAGTGGAGAACAACTTTGTCAGACATATTTCCTATATATTTGTATGTTGTGATATCTTCGTAGTCGTGTGTTTGGTAGGGGGAATGGGGTTTTGTTACTTCAGGAGCAGTTAGTGAGGGGGGAGGGGGTTGTGATCCGCCGCGAAACTTTTTTTCGGGGCTGGGCACATCTTAGCTCATTATCAGCCGTACCGATATCTATCTATTTTATGTACTATTAATGACTTCGTGTCCGATCTAATCAGATCATCATTCCATCATCATGACCAGTAACATGACAGTATGCGAACTAGAAACAAAAAAAATCCTGAGCATTGATTGATTGGTAAGAGAGAGGCAAGGTATGGGGTATCATAATGGAAAATAGAGATGTAATACATGAACATTTTATGAGTATGGTTGGCTTTCCACCGAGTTGGATGATAGATCAAGATACCCTATACTGCTATTTTTGTTTGTCATACAATAATATATTATAGGTATCTTGCTATACACTTCTATCATGATTCTTATTTAGATGCTAAATTGAATGTATAATATAAGGCTTCATCAGCAAAAATACCACTTTGTGTCCTGCACATCCTATATATCTGTTAGGCAAATAGAAAGTGCACAGACCTCATTTATCAGAGTTACCAACACTCCCCTGTGGCCCCTTTATGAGGCCCACACGTCCTTAGTGAGATTTTGAAGAGTTATGTCCTATGACTATAATATCATTTCAATAAAGTCCACTTTATAATATTGTATACATTGCTGCCATCCATCTGATTAGAAGCTGTTTACAGCATATATAAGAAGGGACATCTGGATACTTCTGAGAATTGGAACAGAAGAAATCAGTCAGATGTATAGTAAGATATTAGGTTTAGGGTTATTAGGCATCTTGATAATAGGTTGAAAGTAAAGGGATGTTTTCATTATGATGATCTGTAACAACTTCTACAGTACCTAAGAGATTATAGGTATAACGATTCTACTCTTCTGTACTTAGTTCTTCAACAGGTAACAACCATACCTCTTCTTTTTCCCTGATACCTCAATAGCTCAGAGAGTTTCTATCGTTGCTATCACTTCTGATAGCGAAGATAATGTTGTACTCACATTACCACTGGTAAGCGAGACCTCTTTCTCAGGTAGTATTATGCAAAGTGTGTATAAAGTATTGATTTAACTTGTAGTATAGGAAAGACTTAAGTAGTTATGTGAGGAGTCTGTACCAGAGGTCCTTTGGTTTTTTCTTTTTTTCTGTTATCATGTATTCTTTGCTAAGGTATAAGAACTCGCATGCAGTGCTAGCTATGGCATAAACAAAGCCTTAATCCCAAAGCAAATCCAACAAAAGAAATCAAAATAATGCCTCTAACTATTACAAACAGCTGATATTGCAAGACATATAAAGCTAATCATAAAGGGAAATATTCAAACTAAGCCAATTGAAACCTAACTACCAAAGAAATAAAATAAGGGAGAACCTTTCAACTTGCAAACATAATCGGAGGATGGGGAGGAAGATAGTGGGGGTGTCCCATTGGTGGGCCGAGTAGGGGAGGTACCATCCTGGAATGCAGGTATTTCAGGAGGAAAACCAGTTGAGGTGGTAGAGATGTAGACAGCAAGGCTACTTAGGAGGGCTGGTGTTAACCAGAGGGGATCTTCCTTGCACAGGCTCTTGACTCCTGGGAGGTGGAGGTTCCTAGTACATTTACATGAGGGGCAGGTAAGGATGGCATGGTGGAACTTCTCGATCTCTGTCTCACAGTAAGGATAAATGTTGGGGGCATCAGGGTCCCACCAGTCGTGGTGACCTGCCAGGTAACCTTTCCCAAACCTCATTTGATGGATACATTGTACCAGGAATTTGCTGAGGCCCATGAAGGAGTAGGGTATAAGTATGGGGGAGTACAGGTAGGGGGGAGGGGGTAGGTATTGTCTAGCCGAGGTATTGAGGAGAAGCTGCCTGCAGCCTTTTTTGATGGTAAGGAATAGGGGGTTACCCAGAGCTGCTAGGGGTATTGGTAAGGAGAAAAGAATATTGAATGCTGGGAGAATATGGAGGAGATGATCTCCAAGTTTGACAACTTTATAAGTAATAGTATCTAATAGAAGGTGTCTCCTTACAGTAGAAGAGGGTTCAGGGGTTTACCAGTTAAGGGGCCTGTAGCTTGGCATGAGGCCTATCGTGAGCAGAGGGTAATCTTCGGGTGAATGGAAAGATGAGGTGGTAGGAAAGGAGGAGTGGAGCCTCGAGATGGCTGGATTTTGTTTGAGTGGGAGACTGTTAGGAATACTGAGATCCGATAGCTAGGAGTTACTCTAAGTAGGGTAACCTCACCCAGAATGGGAATCTCTGATCTCCAACACCCCCCTCTGGCCCCCTTATAGGGCCCACATGTCATCATACATATCAATCTCAGTTGTATCCTGTGACTATAATACCACAAAACTGAAGGTATCAGAATAACACCATATACGTCGCTGTTGTCGGTCTGACTGGATCCTGTTTGCAGGATATACGAGAGAGGACTTTTGGCTAGGTCTGGGAAGTATTATGGAGTAAATCTGCCAACTACTCAGAACACTACTGGGCTGCAAAGATGTGATACCTTTGGTATGAGCTGTAAGTAACAGGACGTTTCCATACAAAGAGATGGTATTGAATGGTAAAAAATCTCAGCAAGAGACCAATACATTCACACCCACTCTACAATATCTAGAAGAGTCTAGAATTTCAAGAAACATGATTATAGAAGTTATTAGACTTCACAGAGTGTTGCAACTAGGTTTCGGAACACATTGTAGTTATAAAGACAACTTCCCATACTACAACAGTGATTGAAATCCTGTTACCCAAAGCAACCAAGGGTTGCCGACTGAGGGAATAATTATCAATCTGGTAGAATAGGTTTCTGCGAATTAGTAGGAAGCCACCCGGAAGACATTTATAGGTTGGGTAAGGAGTTATGGAGGTTTAAAGTCAGGCGATCAAAAAAAGGTTGTGATCATGACTAACATTGCAGAGACAACCCGCGGATGAAACTGATCATTTCATTAATAACGAAGACAATTGGAGCCAACTTAGTTCAACTTGAGAACTAGGCCACAAGTGTAAAGGCACTAAAGATTGGATAACTACTATTGGGAACAGTATGGTTTCGAGTTAGTTATATCATAATTAGCAAAGAGGGTGAAGTAATTTTCAGGGTCTCTAGGTGTTCCTACCTTTCAAGAATACTCGATGGTGCGAGTTATAATCAGAAAGGTACATAGGGGCATGATAAATAGATGTAGTCCGCAAATACTCAGATACGGTATATAAATATCAAAGTACCTTCCAAACTTTAGATATCATCAAGCAAAGGAGAAGAGACCTTAACAATATAAGATTGTTTTTACGATTCTATCTTACTTTACTAAATTTACTTCGCCCTTAGTAGTTATAAATGAAAAGAGTGAAACCAAGTCTTCCTAGACACTCTCCGTTTACAGAAATAAATTTCGATTGGCCTAGACAATCCTGATGTCTATCAGATTGTCTCTGCCTAACAGAGACAGACTATCCAAACGGCCACTAGGTGCTGTCAGTGTTCAATGAGACATTCTATCAGTGGAAGAGCCAACTTGCACATAAGGATGCCAGTAGGAGTATCCATGAAGCAGTTAGTTATCCACCTCTGGACCTGTCTCCAGAAGACAGTGAAACAGTCGATTAGAGAGGCTGAAAGGGAGCTGTACTAGAGGTCACTTTTGTTTCTTTTTGTAAAATCATATTATCACTTGTTTAAGGTATGAGAACATTGCATGCAGCACAAGCTGTAGCGTAAAGAAAACCCTTCTACTCCAGACCAAGAGAAATCCTGTACCCTAAAAACTCTCTGGTATGGGCCCAACCATAAACACTCCAGAGGCTATTAACTCTGGTACCCAGTCTGCAGATCTTACAACTTGAAAGTAAAGGGGTCTTGCCTAGAAGTGTCACAAATATAGCTTGGCATGGAAAAGGTTTTCACATGACTCATGATTATAAGTCATAGGTATGAGATTATTTCACGCATATGACTCGTTTGGGTCATATGACTTATTATGTTATGTTTTGCATATGATTTGATTATGAGTTACGAGACATGTGTTAGGAATACCAGAACCCGATACCTAGGAACTACCCTAAGTAGGGTAATCCTACTTGGAATTGGAATCTCTGGTCTCCAACACCCCCCTCTGACTCCCTTATGGGGCCCACGTGTCATCATATATATCAATCTCAGTTGCGTCCTGTGACTATATTACCACAGAATTGAAGGTGTTAGAATAACACCATATTCGTCGCCGCCGTAGGTCTGACCGGAACCTGTCCGCAGGATATATGAGAGGGGACCTTCGGCTAGGTCTGGGAAGTGGAAAGGAGTGATTCCGTCAACTACTCAGAGAGTTACTGTAACCGGTACGGGTACTTGGTTATTGGTTTTGTTTTATGTTTTGTTTTAAGTATCGCTTTGATACTTGGTTTGTTTTAAGTATCGTTTGATACTTGGTTTTGTTTTATGTTTTGTTTCAAGTATCGCTTTGATACTTGGTTTGTTTTAAGTATCGTTTGATACTTGGTTTTGTTTTATGTTTTGTTTTAAGTATCGCTTTGATACTTAAAGAGTTTTACCAAAGTGTATCGATTGATACCTTTGATTAGTTTCGTTCATGCTAGACATGAACAGATTTGTGTATTTAAAGACTGCCTGTTTCTACGATGGAGAAGGCAGACTTCGACAGACAGTATTTCAATATGCTTGGTTGAACGGTTACTTCTTTGTTCCTCAGTACGCCCTCGAAGCCTCCTTTAGTTCTCAGCTCTCGCCTCCTCTCTGGAAGAGCAGGCCACCTGCCAACTATCGTATCTATTATCGAGAACGTGATTAGCACCTTGCGAACACGTTACATGTTTTTAACCTCAGCAAGTGGTTAAGAACCTGTCCCCGGATTTAGGCCTGATCAACCTATCGATATCCACCTCAGAACGCTAGCGGAGAGAAGCGGCAGAATCACAGCACATTCGGCTTCATCTCAAACCCAAGATAGAGTCTTTGACGACCAGAAGTGGGAAGCAAATCCCATGGCAAGATCTTACAAGAAAGAAACAACC